CCGCCCCCGCTAAATCTTCCGTTCTCTCGGCTTCGACCACTTGACAATGTGATTCACCTCTGTCGCCCACCTCCCAAACCAATAAATTTCGTTAAGAGATCTCCAGGCCTGTTCTCATACGGTGCCCGAGGTAGTGCGATATGGGGACCACAGAAACGGTCGCAAACATTGGCATGGCCTGGCTCGCGTCAGACACTCTCACTTCAAGCGAAATCGGTTCCACGAACAGTCAACAGTCCCACAGACACCAATAACTATCCCACTGACCCCATCAACTTTTTCCCTTGTGTCCCACCACCCACTTTTCTGAGCCTACTAATCACCACGAAGAGCGGATCCCACAAACTTTTTCGCTACATCCCACCACCCATTTTATAAATCCCACCAAGTAGGCCTATCTTATCTCAAGGAGCGGACGGGTCCCACCAACTTTTAAAAAACCATATCCACCACCTACCTCGCCGATCACGCCAGTTACATAATATAGTAGCCTATCTCGTTGAGCGGATCCCACCAGCTTTTTCGCTTGGTGCCACCATCTAGTTCGCCGATCCCACAAATTTTAAAATTATCTCGCTGTGTTCCTCAAATTCGAGTGACTGACATAATGACTATTTGTATTTTTACGCATTTTGTTACACTTCAGATTCTCCAGGGAACAAACAAAAATACATTTCCAGTTTCTCAAACGAAAATATACCAACATTAATTATATAATCGAGCACTGAATTTGTCCTCATAAAATTCTTAAAGCGTCTTTCAATCCGACCAATCTCAGGTCAAATCGTCTTAATCCCAACTAAATAAGGAGCTTCAATGTTATTGCTCATGACTTAGCATAGGCGCGATAGCAGCTAGGTTTGAGAGCAATAGGACAGTGACATTTATCACACTTAAATCTGACATTATCCTGTACATATAGCAACCTTAGAATTATAAAGGCTCTTTCAAAATGGTAAGATTATTTGGAGTCGTTATCAAGATATTCATAAGATTGCATTCGAAAAGCTAGACATGCTGTGAAACTCAAAACTTTTTTTTTTGACGTCAAATATCTCAAAACTAGGTACTGAGCAGACAGAACTTTGTAATTCTAAGGAAGCGATTTATCACACTGGAATCTGCCATCCTTCTGTACGAGCGTACTGTATGGACAAGCCTCGGTGTCTCGAGAGAAGAAGCAACGACTTTAAGCCTGTCGGTCAACAACATTCTTGCCCCCACTCCGTGTAGGCAAAGGTTCGCTGGGATTACTGTGGCATTGGATCGAACTCAAGAAATATCTTACACACACACACACACACACACAAACACAAAAGCACAAATACACACGTGCGTGCACACACACACACACACACACACACACAAAAGTACAAACACGCGCGTGCGCACACACACATATACACACACACACACTAACAAACAATACAAATGGTATATAAATAAACACATAAATCTGAATAGGTCTCCGGTGACTGTGTTTTACGTTCGCGCTCAAGTCAATACACTGTAGAAATAGTTTCCCTTCTTTTTTCATGTTCACAGAAGTTCTGGCGGTGTGATGGATGGAGTAGCACTAAATCCACCCCCTCCAAACAAAAAACAACAACAACAGCAACAAAACAAAAGTATAATTAAATAACTACGGGCAGTATAAAGCTGGATACCCCTTAAACTTTTCTTATTTTTCATTCTGCTTCAACAATAGCTCATGTTCTTTATAATATTTATTGTTAACGTTTCACACACCCATTGGCCACAGCTTAGATCGTACAGGAGGTGCGCTGCTTCGTCTTTGACGGTGTCAGGACTGACTTTAATGAGGCATAGCACCCTCATGGGAGATGGAGGGACTCAATAGAACAGCACGTGAATCGAATTATGCTTTTATCGTGCAAAACCATTATACCACAAATGCAGTTAATTCGCATTATTTCACATGTACGTAGCTATAATTAGGTTACTAAAAACTAGTTGCAATCGGGGGTAATAACTCTGATTTGAGTGTGGTAGCCTCGGGGGCCCAAGTGTTGAGTTGCAGTTCATTCAGGGTCAGCCATATTTCCCTAGGAACTGATTAGGACAATTGCAGTAACACAGAAAAGAAATGGTATATGGAGCATAGCTTACCAGAGCTGTAATCAACTACCCACCTAAAAAAAAAACCCACCACCAACAAAAAAGTAACGAAAAAGAAAAGAAATGGAGAACAGTAGTGTCTACCACAACAGTAGTCAGGAATTAGAAACCTCAGAAAATAGGTTGTATTCCTGAATAGATAGAGAGCTGGCCTATATTATAAAAGCGCATAAGTGTCATTTTATGAGAATATATCTTCAACAGACCCTGCAGACGGCAGAGAGCAACGAAGAAAAAAAAAACGAAAAAAAAAAACAGTGTTAAGAACCTACCTGGCCCTTCTTTTGAGATCCCTCAGGTAGAACTTGAGATCACCCCCTGGCTGAGAGTGTAAATCTGAATCACGCTCAGGATCCAATTCATGCATGAAGTCGAAAAACAGGCTGTTTTCTTTGTCACTTATACTGGAAACTTCCTTGTTATAATCCTGGGTTCCAAGACAAGGAAAGCGAGGGTCACATTAGTATACGATCATTTTCAATTTTCCTTTTTTAACCCCTTCACTGCCAGGCCCAACAATGACTAGAACTATTTTGTAGGGTAACAGAGCAGGTCGAGCAGGGAAGGGTTAAAAGATCGTTTACATTTGTAGTTTTTAAACAAAATTTTATGCAACGGTGCTTGAAAATAATTTAAACAAATGTTATCACAAAACACAGAGAGAATGACAGTGCTAATCCAATAACAACATTGCGAGCCGTGGTGCGACGTTTTGGGGCAGCTTTAATTAAGACACATCAATATGACCACCCACATAGAAGTCGTATTACTGTAAACCCTCTCTGACCTACACCCTACACTTCTTGGCATTCTTGGCGAATCAACACAACCCCCCCCCTCCCCCAATCTACGTGGACCCAAATCATAACAGATTAGCAATATGTTCGATGGATGGAAAAACATACGATTACATACATTATTTATATTCAAAGTGCAAACTGCATTTTGCAGGTATGTTGTAATTAATACTGCAATGTAAATCATAAGAACGGATAAGAAGGTTTCTTCCACGAGCATGTTGCCTATAATTCTTATACAGCTATGATAGACGTATTAAAATAAAGTGAAGAAAATGGCAGGAGGAGGAGGAGCAGGAAAGAAGAGGAGGAAGAGGAAAAGGAGAAGGAAGAGAAGAAGGAAGTGGAGAAGAAGAAGGAAGTGGAGAAGAAGAAGAAGAAGAAGAAGGAGAAGAAGAAAAAGAAGAAGAAGAAGAAGAAAAAGAAGAAGAAGAAGAAGAAGAAGAAGAAGAAGAAG